TAAGGCCACTATCCCGGTAGTGGTAAGAGAACCACCGGAATTGAGGCCTTGGCTGTAGGGCTGCTCCATCCATTGGTGGGGAGCGACACCTGCTGGAAACCGGGTCCAGCGTCCCATTAATACAACAATGCATGTCAATGTTGAGGCTGTAGTCATTATTCTATTCTACTCTGGAGCACCCTGTATCCCTTGGAGCTGCAAGTTGTCCCATTCCCATTGCGGGCCCCCTACTCAGAAATTGCCAACCTTATGCTCTACTGGGATGAAGCACAATTTGTCGCTGAACTTCGTCGGCAAGACCTGCATGCGACGCAAGCATATGCATTTACATATCGGTTCATCAATGACATTCTGTCCTGGCAGACATCCCCACCCCCTCCTACTCGAGTACGGGCTTGAGTGGAAAGAGACTACTGAGCAAGATGGCTTGTGTCTTTTCCTTGGGGCAAGAATCCAAGTGCGGTCAGATGGCTCGCTTCGCATAGGTGTATTTGATAGGGTCGAGGCTTGGACATTCCCTGTCATACATTATCCCAGTGCATCCTCCAATGCCCCAGCTCATCAGCCTGCAGGTGTACTTACAGGACAACTAACGAGGTTCGAACATATTTGTAATAACACTACCGACTTCAAAGCGGCAGTGACTTCCTTGACGCGACGTATGCTTTTAAGGGGCCATCCTCCTAGTGTCCTAGCCAAAGGCTGGACGACATATGTGCGTGGCCGGCAGCGCCGACTACCCACTCATGTCACACGGATCTCGAATTGGTTTCGTCGTATGGTGCGCGGGGCCATTGCTCACCCACTGTCAAATGCACACTCGACATATAGAGCCTCCTCCCAACCACATGCAGCAGACCATCACCCACTCCAAAACACTAATTATGACTGCAAGCGACATCATCCCTCCACACAGCACGACACCGCAGGTCTACCCCCTCCTGTTACTCTTGCTGAACTGGCAAACGCCAATATGGATACGCCAGCCCAGCCAGAGAATGGTCCAACAACTACAAGTAATGTATATATTGCTGAGGTTGCTGTAGGCGATCAAGGCCAGCATCCTACCAATGCGGCTATTGCTGCCGCCTGAGCAGGAAAATAGAGAACCACATGAGCTGCTTATAGAGCACTGTGCTGAAGGGCTAACACTGCCAGGACGAACTGTTGCAGAACAAATTCTGCAGAAGCTAGACACCCTTGTTTTGGATGACCCTCTCTCGCCAACGTCGTCGTCGTCGATCCATAGAGAAGGAATCAATGCAGAGGAAAACCAAAACACTTGCTCAAAGCGTTCTATGATGATCCACCTGAGATTCGGCTAGCGTGTTGGCTGTATGCATTGTGTCATGAGGATTATGAAGGCACAACCTGTGCATCTTTTTGTCTTCATACGTTTGATGAAAGTCAATATTGCAGTCACGTCTGGCACCCTGACATGTCATGTCCAATTTGTAGACAGGGGCTCGAACAGCAAAGCCTATACGATTGCAGCCGGCATGCGTCTGTGTTCCGTGCCTGTGGGAGCCATGTTGCCTGCCATATCTGTCTATGTCGTGCCATTCGGTGCAGCAACTGCAACTGCAAGAATTGGATGCGATGCTTCCACAGTCCGCACCTGAATCGGTGCTGTCCGGTCTGCAGGAATGGTCACCTACCATAGGCAACAGCTACCATAAGCAACAGCTACTCCTCATCCTGCAACCCGAACACTGATTGACATCTCGTGTCATTCTACAGTTGTCGGCTCCAACC